GAAACTTGTTTCCAAGTTTCATAAAATTTAGCAAACTTGGATGTTGATTTTTTTAACCCACAAGTTACATAAAAATGAAAAATTTTATGAAACTTGTAAAAATTTTCATAAAATTTTGATTTATGAAACTGGATTTATGAAGACAGGATAATCCATATTTTTTACGTTTTCTTATACGTGAAAAACTAGCTTTCTTTACGGTTAGTCACTATGCATTTTCGAATATAATAATCAACATACGCATATAGGTTTCGACTCTGCTGAACTAGATAGTGATGTCAAAAGTGAGAGTGAGTAATAAGGGACGAATTGATACTGAATCATTGAGCAAATGCTCCAGAAGTATTCGTAGTTTATAACTAAATTATCATTTTAACGAAAGATAAAATATTTCAAATCAAAACTTTCATCCAATGAATCTGTATTGCTGAAAAGTCAAAAATTCCACGAAATTAGCGCATCTTTTTTCATCTAATTGCATACATTGTCTGGGCGCTGTCATCTGAGGGTGAAGAAAAATGAGAAGTGAATCATTGAGATGTCATTGACAATCGTTTTACCGCCTGCTAACTAACTCATATTCTTTGACAGCAAAACTCGGTCATGATGAAATAATGAGACTATTAATTTGTGAAACATCGAGAGCAAGTACATTGACCAATTCTAAAGGACAAACACCACTGTTGAATGCAATCGAAGCTGGAAGCACATCGACGGCAACATTACTGATGGAAGCCGATCCACGTTCAATCATCGTTAAAGACAATTACGGTTCGTCTGTCTTCCACTATGCTTGTGAATATTCTAATGATGTTGTCCTTAGTCGAGCAATTGCACTTTTAAAACGGTTGAATTCAAGCAGTGATAGAATAACAGTAAGTATTTGACTACAAACTTAATTTATATTCTCTATACGCATAATAAAAATCATTTTATAGGCATTACAGTATCTAGTTGAACGTAATCGTAACGGTAAAACGGCGTTTGACCTAGCTATTCAAAAAGGTAATTTAAAATGTGTCAAACATTTTCTCACATCATCGTGGTTAGAATCCAATATAGACATTCATGAATTGATGAATCCTGAAACATTACGTAAAGCAGTTGAGACAGATCAACTCGATATTTTGACATTTTTTGTATCTAATACTAAACGGTTTTCATACATAATTAACTTGTTAATTGACTCACATGGACACTTCTACAATTTATTAGAATATTCAATTTTGTTGAAAAAAATAGATTTTGTTCGAATGTTTATTTCTGTTCGTATTCCTCAAGAAGATAAACAATTTCGTCATCAGTACAAGAAATTTTTGTGTCATTATAATGAACCCTATCAAAACGCAACTAATGGATATCCGTTTTACGAGACACCGATTCAGCGAATGTTAACCACACATGAATTAATACCATTGGTACCACTTATGTTAGAACAATTCGTAAGTGACAGAGGAATTGACTTATCAATAGTGGATGATTGCCTTTTTGCAAGACCAAATAAACTTCGATGCATTTTTGGTCGTACAAAACATTTTTCATCTGATGATTGGTTAGAGCAACATCCGTTAAGACTAATAGCAAAAGCAGACTGTAAAGATGTTTATGACCATCGAATCGTTAGAATGTGCGTTGATCTTAAATTTAATTTATTCGGAAATTTTCTTTACTTCATCATTCTCTGTTCTCAATTACTCTATGTAACGTTATACACGGGTATTACATTAGGCTCGCCAACCCCTGCTCAACAAGGAACAAGTTATTATAAATTGGTAAATTATACATGTTCACAAATGTGTTACATGCTAGCAAACGATGTTCAGTCACCGTTGAAATCAAATGATTATTTAAGAGCATTAAGATTTACCTTGTTATTATTCTCATGTTTAGCGCTACTTAAAGAATTCTTTCAAATATTTACCCAGCGTGAAAAATATTTTGGTCGATTTTTTATTAATTTGATTGAATTACATATGTATGTAAGTAGTTTTTTTCACAGTTTCATGTTTTTTGCGTTTGTTTTAGCAGTCGTTCATGTTACTAATGATTACTAATCCAGACTTTAACGATTCCGTATATTTCTTCTAAGCACAGTGGGCATTTTTTGCTAGAGCAGGCGGACTTTAGCTTTATGAGTGAACTAAAATTTCATGAACCATTTTTTTATAGGTTTTTCATGATCCTCTTTCTAATGGCATGAGAGCTGGGCTTTGAA